GTCAAATCTAATCATCTTTAGATATAAAAAGGCAAATGAACATGGACAAGGAAGTGCAAACTGTCAGAAGCAAGAATGAAACGTTGGAGAAAGTATCAATTTGCACAAATCGAGCAGGACACAAGATCACAAGTGCTACTGCATTTATGAAGTATAACGGCTAGAAAGATTCGAAGATAGTATAAGAAGGAGCGATCAAAGACGGGAAAACTTACGCAACCTTCTATACAATTGTCTATCAAACTACAAGTTCTTTATTCTACTCTTAACAAGCATTGTAATTCACTTTAGTAGATTTACTGTGTACACAAAAGAGAGAAGAGACAGAAAAATTGGAGAGGCAGTGTGTCCGGAGAGGTTGTGTCATTGTTCGTTTCTTTGGTGAGCGAGTGAAAACCAAAGGGTCGTTATTGGTGAGCGAGTGAAAACCAACCCTGTAAACGTTGTTGGTGAACATTGAAAATCACACAAGTTGTACTCAACACAAATTACAAAGAGCTCAAGAGATAATATCCTTGCAACCCAAGGAGACTGGATTAGGATACCACATTGGTTCCGAACCAGTATAAAATTCCTGGTGTCATTTACTTTATCGCTCTTATACTATATTCTGTTCCTTTACTGTTTATTGTGATTAATACTTATTTAAATCGAAAGGACTAACAGTTCTGTGCAGGCTGTCTCCGCAATTGTCGACTAGGTCTGTAGAGTAGTCGACTAGAAATTTAAAAAGGCTACAATTCACCCCTCCCCCCCTCTTGTACTTTCAATTGGTATCAAAGCAGGTCTCACATTTTTACTTTTGCTTAACAGCAAGTGAGAAAAGAGCACACACAGTTATCGGAGCCTTACTCCAAGAAGGGACTTCTGCATTAAGACCACCATACTTCAACGGACAATATTACACTCACTGGAAAATTCGAATGGAAGCTTTCATCAAATCTTATGATGTCAAAGTATGGCGAGTCATCAAGAAGGGTGACTTTCCTCTCCTGCAGTCCAAACAAGAAAAGAAACCAGAAGGACAGGTATCTACTGAAACCCTTGATATTGATGATTATACTGATGAGCATATGCCGATTGTGCAGATAAATTCAAAGGCAAAAAATCTATTATACAATTCTATAAGCGGAGAAGAATTTGAGAAAATATCAAGTTATGACACAGCCAAAGAAATGTGGGATAAACTTGAAGTTACCTATGAAGATACCGGTAAAGTAAAAAAAACAAGGATAAACCGTATGATTCGTGATTATGAGTTGTTTTGAATGAAGGAAGATGAATCCATTGAAGACATGTTTGGCCAATTTAGCAAAATAGTTGGAGATCTACAATCCTTTGGAAGACCATATTCAAGTGGTGAACAAGTCAGAAAGATTCTAAGAAGTTTACCCACCTTATGGCAACCAAAAGTTGTTGCTCTTGAATACGGAGATCTCGACAAACTATCATATGATGAACTTCGTGGAGACCTTATAGCCTTTGAGCAAACCCATATCAAAAAACATGGACATGAAGAGAAGAAAAAGAGTGTTGTTTCTAAATCAACTATTGCTGGGTCTGATAGTGAAGCCGAAGAAGGAGGAGACAAACATGAAGATGCTATTTCATTATTTTCTAGAGTTGTCTCTAACACGACGCGAAGAAGCAAGAAAAATGGAAGAGTCAATTCAAGTTCTAGAAAAGGTAATGAAATAAGTGAGCAGAAAAACAATGACAGAAAGTGCTACAAATGCGGAAATTATGGTCACATCCAAGCCAATTGTCCAGAACTAAAAAGGAAACTATCCAAGCGCAATCGAAAGAGAAAATCTTCCAGCATATGGAGTGATGAATATATGCCAGATAGAAATCATAATGGAGTTGCCAACCTTTGTTTCATGGCACGAAGTGAGACAAGTGAAAAAAGAAAATCTTTTGGTATCTGGAGTGATGAAGATATATCAGACAACGATCATGAGGAATCTACAAGCAACAGCATCATTGCCCCAAGTGAAACAAGTGAGGTAAGATTTCATGATTGTGATAAATGTAATGAACTTCAAAGTATCGTAGAACAGGCTTTAGATGATATGAGAAAAATTCTTGATGAGCTCATGAAGATTAAACGGGAGAAGAAAACCTTGGAGACCCAACTTGAAGAATATAACAAGTTAAAAAGGGAAAAGGAAGAGTGGGATATTCTACTCGAAGAACAAGAAGAAAATGTGGAACTTCGCAAACAAATGAATAGTTTGCACATATCTTCCCGTCACCATTTTGATCGACCGAACAAGCAGGCTCATTTTCTTAATAACTTCAAGTTGACTGACAAGGGATCTACTAGTAGACGCCCTACTTCAAACAAGTCGACTCGGGAAAGCTTCAAGTCGACTAAGGCACCTGCTGGTAAATACTCTACTTCTTTTGTTACATGTCACTACTGTGGTAATTTTGGACATAAGGCATTTGCATGTAATTATGCCAAAAGTCATGATAGATCAAAATTTGTTTGGAGACCTAAACAGTTACATGTATCTCCAATTATACAAGCTACTAACCATGAAGGACCCAAAAAGGTTTGGGTACCAAAAATAAACTAATTTGTTTTGCAGGAATTTCTTAGTCCAGGCATAAAAAGGATTAAAGATGTTTGCGTATTGGCTGGTCGAGGAACATGCTTCAAAGTTCTTACATATTCACAGAGGATGAATGAAATACGACGTAGGATCTAAAAGAGTGACCAGTATCACTAAGGTTTATTCAAGTTCTTCTCGCTGCATTAGGTGATATATATTCAGCTACTGGTTTAGTAAAGTATAACCTAGTATATGCATATTAGTCGTCTATATGCACTTCGAGTCCACTAGCTACATCACATTGTTATTCTATTTGGTATTATTTTTTATCCATGACTTAGAGACTTTAAATAGCCTGAGTACATGTCTTGCATGAACCATGTCATTTGCATAAGATATTAGGACAAGAAAGCATGCGATTATATTGATATCGTACGAACTTGACTCATGCCTATATGCGTCTTAGATTATTCTTGAAGTGAATTATTTGTGTAATAGTACTTTCTTGGTAAGAATTACTAATGCTTCACTCAAGACCAAGAAAGTTATTAAACTTTGAGGCCACTTCTGCACATGAAACATTTTGGGCAATACTCAAATGCTTGAAGACGAAAGGTATGTATCTCTATTATTAGCTTTAATTGGGCTATGTTCTGGATCTATATTAGAGGACACCTTATGTGAGATATATAAGAAAGGAAAATCAAGTGTTGATTATTTCTATCTTATTTGTTGCAAATGCTTACCAAAAATCTTGGAAGGTAATTATATACGTTTCTATTGATGATTATCCTTACTTTCGCATATGTCATATTTTTTAATAAGAAAATAACACATTTGTTGTGATCATCGATGCGAGTTTTAATAGTATTTGTCTGACATTTTCTTGCAACAAGCACGATCTTTCACATCTTAGTTTGGTGCCTCAGTTGAAAGCAGACTTGAAAAGAAAACATCATTTTTGCATAAATTGACATCATTGGCTTATATGTGCTTTAATATTTCTCTTTGGATCTTATCTTGAATGAAATTCTGTTTAGCTATGGGAAGGAAGAAAAATCAATATTTGGTTATCTTATTTCCTTTGGTTGCAACTGTCTTGGATGGAGAACTTGCAATGGATAGCTTGCGATAAATTGCTAGTGACATATTTATACTAGTTGAACTAAACAGTCATGAAGGCATTAAACGATGATTGCTGGATCCTAGTAATGCAAAATTTGTTGAGCAAAGCTGAAAGAATCAATAGTATGGAAATTCAGTACCAAGCAAAGGAGCTGCAATCATGGATATCTAAAGCCTGATAAGATTGGTAAGGTTGTGAAAATTATGTATAAACTTGTAGCCCAAGGTTTCACAACAAGAAGGTCTGTTTTTTTTTTTTTTTTTTGAGAGTTTTGTTAGAATATCATTTTTCATGTGCTTATTACAAAGTTTGTAAAGTATTTTTGTATGGATATTGAAATATTTTTAAAATAGTTTGAAAACTGCATAACATTATTCTAGCCTTTCTCTGGAATTGAAAGTTTTTTTTGAATCACATTCGTGTAACTAAGGCTAGTTACCATTTGAAACAAATTCATGTTTATCATCTGAGGATTATTCATTCCAAAGATGTATTTACAAGAGCATATTTTTTTGTAATACTAACCAAAAGTATGTCAAGCATTTTTAAGCCTCTGGTAGATGATCGGGTTGGAAATGAGTATAATGGAGAATTTTCCATTATCTTCACATTCCAAATAATGCGAAGCAAAGAGAAAAGTAGTAAGTCCAACGATCGAATAAAGTGCCAAGGACCGACTCTCCATTGCATTTTTATGACATATATTTTGGTATACCTGATCCCACAATATCACTTTATAGTACCACAAAGGATCTTTGGTTGATTCTAAATTATGAATTACTGTATGCAAGAACTAATTGCTTTGATCTAGTAGAATATTCTCAGATGCAAACCTTGCAGGCAACAAAGTGGACTGAAATAAGAAATGGGATGGAGTTTTTTAATATTCTCATGTCATGAAAAGGATAACGACTTTCATGAGAATTATCCCATATCCTTCTCTTTGGTGATATGATCACATATTTTTTGGTGATATGAATATATGACTATTTCATGACTCTTGTATGCCTTAATATGTTGTAATCTTTCTAAGGGTCTTAAGTTTTTGCTCACACTTTTCTTGAAAGTCTAACATGTGAGGATATCAAAAGTCTCTTAATCCTTTTAAATCATCGAGCGTTTTCCAAGTGACTATGTGCGATCACACCGTCTTATATGATAAATGATGTTTTGGAGAAAATCAAATATCCTGTGAGTTTTTTTTAATCTCCGCTAAGCTTTCAATCATGTGAAATGATTTTCTTCTGTGGTCTAGAATTTCTTTCTAGTCTACTTACAATGATAGTTCAATATTTTTTAGCTTTGGGTTGACGCTTTGGATATCTTGGTTGGATTAAAAGATGTCAACTAGCTTAAAATTTTTGTTAGATTTTTCTTTCTGCTTACGGCTCTTAAAGGAAATTATTACTCCATGTTTTTTATAACACCCTGGATAATTATAAGTTATAGTTATACTTTTATTTGCATATTCCTTACAAGTTACTTCACCCTTTTGATGATGACAAACGGGGAGAAAATAATGTGTACAAAACTTCGAATAAGGTAGAATGTATGGAGACAGGGGGAGCATAACTGAGGACTGCATAGAGTGAGGGGGAGTTCACACTTGATGTACTACATGCATCTCGAGAGGAAGACTTCAGGGAAGTAACCAGTCTATAATTAAGTCTTTGATTAAATTTTCTTCTTCTGTACTCAATGGTTTGCCATCATCAAAACGGGGGAGATTGTTAGCTTCAAGGTTTCACGTATTAATTTTGATGATAACAAACCAATACCATTATTAATCAACGAACATTTACTTGTGATAATCTTATTTTTTTGTATAGGTTTATTCAAGAAAGAAGAAGCTGGTAAAAATCCAAACAAATATGGGAAAAGAGATATCATGTGAAGAATTTATCAAAGAAGATTATTTTTATAGATTTGATGTCCAAGCGCCATAAGGAATAATATTTGAAAGTGAAATTTCAAATATGGAATGGCTTACTACAGTATCAGAAGAAGAATCTACGAAAATTATGGATGGGAAGATTTTCAACATCTTGAAAGGAAAGTTGCTAAAATCGTGGAGAAGATCTATTATCGTGTGGAAAGAAGATACTATACGGAAGAGATACTACAAGATAAAGCTGAATATATTTTTATGGAAAGAAAATATATTATGCGTGTAGCATATTCTATATTATGGAAAGAGATTATTTTTCAAGATAAAAAAAGGAGTCAAAGATTTATTGAGATCTATCAGAAAGGAAATATTTTATTAAGAAAGATAATTTTTACCAGGTCAAGTACTACAAGGAATTGGCCAACTCTTGCATCTAAGGAATGTTGCACAAAGAAGCTTATTTACTACGGATGAGATGGAAAGTACTGTTCTTATGGGAAGAAGCATGAGTTACTGGAATCAATCAAGAATTACTACAATCACGGAAAAGTAAATCATGGGGATTTTGATTGAATCATCATGACTATTCTCAAGTAGATATTCATAAAGATTATATATTGCAGAGAATTATTAATCATGGATCTATTCAAGGAAAGAATTGATATTGGCATCATGATTGGAAATTCAAATTGTCCAATTCAAAAGGAAAGTTTGCATTAACAGAAGAACTCCAAATCTGCCTTATAGATTGTGATCATGTTCTAAAGGGCAAGAAGCAGTAAAAGAAAGTTGTAGCAGCAGCAAAGGAAATCCTTTTCCAAAATTAGAAGACCGCTGCAACAGCTAGAATATTCAACGACCAAGTATAAAAGAGAAGATACTTGCAACAGCAAAATTACGCAGCCTTCTATACAATTGTCTATCCAACTACAATTTCTTTATTCTACTCTTAACAAGCATTGTAATTCACTTTAGTAGATCTACTGTGTACACAAAAGAGAGAAGAGAAACAGAAAAATTGGAGAGGCGGTGTGTCCGGAGAGGTTGTGTCATTGTTCGTTTATTTGGTGAGCGAGTTGTAAAAAATTGACAATTTCTCTCTCTCTAGAATGAACTTTTCTCTCAGCCATAGCTGAAAATGACGAGGAAATCGAAGACTAGAGGGGGAGGGTTGAACATGCAGGAGACAAATCTAAGTAATGTGATCGAAACAAGGGGAATTCCGCAATCAACTGATGCTAAGAAAACTCAAAGCCTCAATGTACTACAAGGAATACAGCCATTAGACCTGAGCCAATCGCCTACCAATGGAACAGTAGCTAGAAACAATGGGGGAAAGAAACAGGATGAGAAACGCAATTCATGGGCAGTTAAGGTGGAGGAAGAAGCGGAAAAGCTAAAGGTTGCAGGGGAAACAAGCCCTAAGTCATGGAGCAAAATTGTAGCCAGTCCAATTTATGAAGGATTGGACCTAACTCCTCAACACCAAAATAGCTCGAATGTGAAGATTACTATGGAGGATATAAAGGAGGAAATCGATTACTGGAGCACAGCAGTGGTATGTTTTGTACTGGGTTCTAATCCTCCCCAGTCAGTGATGGAAGGGTATTTCCAAAGGATCTAGGGATCGTTGGGCATTGACATTGTAGCACAGGCTAATAGAGGTGTGTTTGTGGTGAGATTACATAGCTGTGAAAGCAAAATCAATGTGATCGAAGATGGAGTCCAGATGTTCGACAGAAAGCCAGTGGTGGTAAAACCTTGGAATCCTGATATAGACTTGAAAAAGAATCAGTAGACTTGATCCCAATGTGGATTAGGTTTATTGGATTGGATATTAAATACTGGGGGCAAGCTGCACTCACAAAATTGGCAGGGCTAGTAGGAAAACCATTGAAGGCTGATCGTGCTACAACACAGAAGGAGAGGCTGACTTTTGCAAGAGTTTTGGTGGAGGTTAAACCTCACCAGAGTTATCCTAACACTATCATGTTTGAGGATGAAAAAGGCAGAATAGTGGAGCAGGAGGTTTTCTATGAATGGAAGCCAACTTTGTGTGAGAAATGCAAGAATTTTGGGCATGAAATGAATGAATGCAGGAGATTCATCAAAGAGGAGAAAGAGAAACAAGCTAGCAAGAAGACTGGTAATGAACCAAACATAGAGAATCAGCAACAAAAGGAAAAGCAGGAGGGTAAGGAGCAATGCAAAAATGTGCAGGTAGCACAACAGGAGCAGGGGCAGATAGCTAGAAGCAATAAGGGGAATGAAGGATCCACAAAAACAAATGATGTGGCAACAACATCAAGGAGTTGGCAGAATATAGTGAGAGGGAAAATAAGGGAAAGGAAGCAACAAGGGGACATAAGAACAGGGAATCCCTTTGCCACATTAGGTGAACAACAACAGGAGAACACAGACGAAAACAGCAGGAAGGGGGAGGTGATTATAACAGAAAAAAGAAAAGGGAGTGAGATGGCCCTGGGAAAAGGGCAGGATGGGGGCAACCCCTCATCCAATGGATAGAATAGGTTTTTGGAATTCAAGGGGACTGAACATGCCACTTAAGCAGACAGAAATGAATCTGTTTATGAACAACCAAAAGGTTGGGCTGTTTGGTCTCCTGGAAACTAAGATTAAGAGAGCAAAAGCACAGCAAGCTACTCTTAATCTATGTGGAGGGTGGTCATTTACTACTAACTTAGTAAAACATCCAGCAGGCAGGATTTGGGTTGTATGGAAACCAGGTGTGTATGATGTTAACATCACAAATGTTACTGAACAACTTATTCATAGTATGGTTACTCACAAAGGGACAGGTAACAAGTTCAATGTTACCATAGTGTATGGGTTCAACAACCAAAGCATGAGAAAGCAAATGTGGGAGGATATTAGAAGTATACACCAGCAGAATAGGGGTCCCTGGGCCATTATGGGGGATTTCAACTGTATACTGAGTACTGAAGAAAGAATAGGAAGCAGGGTGACACTAGCAGAAATCAGAGATTTTAGGAAATGTATGGAGGATTGTTCTATGCAGGATATGAGATCTTCAGGTGCATTCTATACATGGAGCAATAAGCAAGCAGGGGGAGATAGAGTAATGAGCAGGATTGACAGAGTCCTCACAAACTATGAATGGCAGACTCAACTGCCAGCATCTGAGGTACACTACTTACAACCAGGACTATTTGATCATTCACCAGGTTTAATAAACTGGGAGGGAGGGGGACAGCAGAGTAAGAGAAGATTTAAGTACTTCAACATGTGGAGTATGGCATGGGATTTTAAAGAAAGAATAAAAGCAAACTGGAACACTGATAGGGGGGTACAAAGATGTACCAACTGGTGGGGAAAATGCATAGAATCAAGAGCACATTGATGAAAATCAACAAGGAGAGATTCAGTAATATTGAACAAAGGGCAGAGGAAGCATTGAATAGGCTGCAGCAATGTCAAAGTCAGGTGCAGCAGGACCCTAGGAATGAAGCCTTGATAAATGAAGAAGTAAGACTAAATGAGGAAAGCAGCAAATGGGCAAAGGCAAGACTCATGTTCTTGCAGCAGAAGGCTAAGGCACACTGGCTCAACCAGGGTGATCAGAACACCAAGTACTTTCATGGTATTCTGAAAGCCAGGAGGAACAGCAACAGAATATTCCACATAAAGGATATGAAGGGACATGATATTGATGATCCAGCAAAGATCCCAGAGGCATTTATAGAATTCTACACAGAATTACTTGGGAAGAGTGTGGAGGATAGAGATCATGTTAATAGTCAAATTATCAGACAAGGTCCAATTGTGCAAGAGGAGCAGAGAACTGAATTAAATGCAGCATTCAGTGATAAAGAGGTGAGGGATGCCCTATGGGCAATTGCAGGTGACAAAGCACCAGGTCCAGATGGATTTGGCAGCCAATTTTACAAAGATTGCTGGGAAGTTGTAGGTTCAGATGTAAAAGAGGGAGTGCTGGAATTTTTCAAAGAAGGCAAGATGCTCAAAGCCATCAACAACACTGTGATTACTCTCATACCAAAAAGCCCTCATGCTGAAGCAGTTGGAGACTACAGACCTATAGCTTGTTGCAACACAATCTATAAGGTGATTTCAAAAATGCTATGCAATAGGCTCAGGAAAGTCCTACCCGGGCTTATATCCCCTAATGAAAGTGCCTTTGTGGAAGGCAGGAGTATTGTTCATAACATATTGATCTGCCAAGACTTGGTGAGATTGTACAAAAGGAAGAATACAACCAAGAGCTGTTTAATCAAAGTAGACCTAAGAAAGGCATATGATACTGTGGAGTGGGGGTTTGTGGAAGAAATGATGCATTCATTGAATTTCCCTAATAAGTTTATAAAGTGGATAATGGCTTGCATCACAACTACACAGTACACAATTGCAGTCAATGGAGATGTGCATGGAAGTATCAAGGGCAAAAGAGGATTGAGGCAAGGGGACCCTGTTTCACCCTTACTATTTGTCATATGTATGGAATATCTCTCAAGAATAATGAAGTGGATTGCTGAGCAGAAAGGATTTCAATTCCACACCAAATGTAGAGGACTCAAACTCAACCACTTATGTTTTGCAGATGATGTGCTTTTCTTCTGTAAAGGGGAATGGAAATCAGTGGAATTGATCTTGAGAGGGTTGGAAACATTTTCAAGAGCATCAGGCCTACATACTAGTGCAGCAAAATCATATATCTACAGTGCAAATATGGAGGAGGAATGCATTCAGGATATCTGTGAGCTCACTGGCTACCAGAGGGGGGACCTTCCATTTAAATACTTGGGAGCACCAATCTCAGCCAGGAAGCTTTCAGCTACAGATTGATGTTGGCAGGGTAATGCTTGTCAACTCAGTATTGATGCATATCCACTCTTACTGGGCTTCAATATTCATCCTTCCCAAGAAGGTACTTAAAAGTATAACAAGTATCTGCAGAAGCTTCCTATGGGATGGGAAAGGGAATTCAACAAAAATGGCACTTGTAGCATGGGACACAGTATGTAAACCAAAGCAACAGGGTGGTTTGGGGATAAAAGATTGTATGGCATGGAATGAAGCAGCAATGGTGAAATATGTTTGGAACATAGCAAATAAAGAGGATAACCTGTGGGTGAAATGGGTGAATCATGTATACATAAAAGAGCAGGATTGGTGGCAGTATGTTCCACCAGTGGATAGCTGTTGGTATTGGAAGAAAGTATGTGCATGTAGAGACAAATTTGCTGCTGGTTTTGTCAACAATGGCTGGCTTAAACAGGGGGACAAATATACAATACAAAGTGGATACCAATGGTACAAAGGTGAAGTAGAGATTAAGCCATGGTATCGAGGGGTATGGGGTCGGATGAATGTGCCAAAACACAGCTTCATGAGCTGGCTTGCCATGCACAGGAAGCTATTGACAAAGGAGAGGCTGCAAAAGTTAAAGTTATGCCAAGATAGTGATTGCTTGATATGTGGAAGACATAAGGAAACAGTGGAGCACTTGTTCTTTGAATGCAAACTATCAGAGGAGTGCCTGAAGGAGCTGCTAAAGTGGATGAAAAAAGGAACAACAAAAACTGACCTTGAAGGTATATGGAGGAGAATAATCAGGGGTACACAAGGGAAGAGATGCAGAGAATTCACAACAGCAATAGTGGCAGCGATAATATACAGAATTTGGTGGGCAAGAAATGAAGCATTATGGAACCAGCGGGTTCCAACAGTGAAGAGTATATGTACACAAGTTAAGCAAGAATGTAAGACTAGAATAGTTCCTCTGTTAAACAAAAAATGTAGCAGAAAAGAAAGAGAATGGATAGATCAATTGTATAGATATGGATAGGAATATAGAGAAGGAAGTGTAGGAAATATAGAAACACACAATAGAGGAATAGAGGCAAACATGGGAGAGCGAGGGGAAGTTTTGTAAAGGCCTTGTTTATTTGTGAATAAAAGATTTCTGTTTCACCAAAAGAAAACCAAAGGGTCGTTGTTGTTGAGCGAGTGAAAACCAACCCTGTAAACGTTGGTGGTGAACGTTGAAAATCACACAAGCTGTACTCAACACAAATTACAAAGAGCTCAAGAGATAACATCCTTGCAACCCAAGGAGACTGGATTAGGATACCACATTGGTTCCGAACTAGTATAAAATTCCTCATGTCATTTACTTTCTCGCTCTTATACTATATTCTGTTCCTTTACTGTTTATTGTGATTAACACTTGTTTAAATCGAAAGGACTAACAGTTTTATGCAGGTTGTCTCCGCATAAGTCGACTAGGTCTGAAGAGTAGTCGACTAGAAATTAAAAAAGGCTACAATTCACCCCCCCCCCTCTTGTACTTTCAGTGATGGACCTACATTAACGCCCTCATGCGCTAAGCCCCGAAATGCTTCATTAATCAACAATTCTATAGGATTTTCAGGAGGTGATACATCTTGAGCGACCTCTATGTTCTCAGAATTCCACAACACATTTATTTCCCCATGAAGAACCCAAGTGACTGTGATGATCCAAAAGGTCATCTTGTATTTTATAACCCAATTCGGGGTTCTGAGTCCTTCAAAAACTTATTTTATTTCTCCCCGATTTACGTGCGCAGCTCGGGCATGTTTCCGGAAAGCCTTTATGTGAAAATTTGAGAAAATAATAATTTTTGCCTTTAAAAGTTGATTTTAGTTGACTTCGTTCAATATTTTGAGTAAACAGACCCGGACCCGTATTTTGAAGGTCGCCGAGGGTCCATAGTAAAATATGAGACTTGGGCGTATGCCCGGAATCAAATTCCGAGGTCCCTAGCCCGAGAAATGAATTGTTGATGAAAATTGTTAAATTAAAAATCTAAGGATTTAAAGATATCGATCAATGTTTGATCTCGTTGGTATTGAGCTCGTATCTTGGTTCCGGAGCTCGGTACAGGTTTAATATAATATTTAAGTCATCTCTTATGAAATTTGGTGAAAATGGTGTTTATTTGACGTGATTCGGACATTTGGTTGAGAAAATAGAAGTTTTGAACTTTCTTGAAAAATTGCATGCAATTTGGTGTTAAATTGTTACACCCCGTAAGTTTAACAACCTTGATACCGTTATATATATATATATATATATATATATATATATAATATATATATATATGAAAAAAGATTTAATACTATGTAGTTATACATGGTAAGACAAATGGCATTTTTCAGACATGGTTAGAAGTACTAGACTCTTATTAAAAACATAGAAAAACCACTTTTTAAAGGTTTCAATGACTTCACTGAAGCATTAGACTATGCAAGAGGAATACTAGGACCAAACTACTATATCTCCCCAGCACTCAGAACAAAACCCAGAAAAAATCCCCAATTATAACACCCAATATAACATCCAAAAGGACAACGACAAGATAATATTCTGTGATCATTGCTCATCAATGACGGAAGCCTTCAAACGAATAAACCAGAAGAATGAAATCTTGGCACAGGAAAAAACAAGACTTATGGAGCAAATGAAGGTACTAGAACAAAGAATACATGCGTTAAAATTTGAATTGACACAATCCCAGACTCAAGTTATATCTCAACAAGACACTGAGATGAGTAGTCCAAAACAGAGTTCTCCATCTCAAGAAAAAATGGATGAGAAGGGTGTGCATTCCCCAATGAATGCAGCAAAATCTACTGTATTGGATAATGATACAGCTAGTCCGGTTCAAACGGTAACCGGTAAAGACATATCAAATCCGTTTATGGCTGTCACTTTGCCAAAAAGTGAAGATGAAGGTTCATCAAGACGAAGACTACCTAGAACACTAACACAGGGAGAAGCATTAAAAAAGAAGGGTATAATTTCCAAAAAGAAAAAAAATGAGAAAATAGAAAGCATAATTAAACAGACATTAGAAAATTTCTTTCAAGAAAAAGAAAAGCAAGACAAACCTATGATTAAAAGTTATATATATATATATATATATATATATTTGATATGGCATTTTGAGTGGAATATTTTTTTTAAAAAGAAAAATGGATTGAAAAATGTGATTTCATAATAATCATTAATATTACTACTTTCGAATATGTTTTAAATTATACACATAATATGAGAAAAGTTATGAGATTTTCTTTATTGTAAAGATATGAATTATTATTTCACAAGAAAGGAAGGTTATCTTTTTTACCATTTTAAGAATTAAGCATACGAAGTTTTGTACTCTTTATATGAGATTAGGAAAATTAGAAGTTGAGAAAATATATATATTTTTATATGGATGTTTTAATGAAATAATAGTGTATGTGTTTATTTTGTATTGTACCACATGACAATGATAGTAAGTTATATAATGTGTACTAAAAGTGAGTAGTATTTTAAGTAACTTGAGATAATTTTTTATTATGCTGGTAATTGGTAATTATTTAAAAACAATTTAGATAAAAACATCACGTACGTGGCATATTTTGACTTAGCAACAATGTGACGCTTACCTTCACTAAACTAGGTGGCATGAAACATTTAAAAGGGAGAGTGGCGTGGCAGTATAAAAAGGAAGGGAACAAAGATTTCAACTCTTTCCACATCACTTTATATGTAAGGAATTACTATATATTTATATAGTATCTTGAGAGAGCACCATTACACGGAGTTAGTATATTATTATTTTTAACCTTTTTTCATTATAGAACTGAGCAACAAAATTTCTTTGATCAAACTTTGTAGTAGGATTATTTTGAAGCACGAATGACTTTTACATGAAGCTCTTTTCTTGTTTTCTTCATGTATTTGTGGGAAATTCAATTCTTGGTCTATAGCAATTTTTGTTAAGTAAAGTTGCTATTTTGGGAAAAGCCAAGTTTCAATCGTGTGATTAATTGAGAGGAGTGGCTGTCAGAAGAATCTTTTCCTATTCCTTTTATTTTGGTGTGGATGGAAAAGTGTTTTCTGGTTGAAAAGTTAATGCCCTTTGTTACTTTTTGTAGATGCGGAAATTGGTGATTTCTGATTAACCCTACATGCATATCGAATGGAAGTGCTTTCTGGTTGAGAAGTTTAAATTTTAAACCCTCTATCACTTTTTGTAGTTGGTAGTATCTGATTAAATCTGCACGCATATTGCAATATTAAGTGGTTTGTACATTTTCTGAAATAACTTTAGTTTCGACCATTCTTATATGAATGGTCCATGCTGGATGATGTGGATTTGTACTCTAGATCTTGAAATAGTGAGTTGATCATATTTAGATAAATCTAAATCTTACCGGTTATAGCTACAGTAACAAAAGTTGTATCCATTCTTAATATTTATAAGAGAAAATTTTCTTATGAGGTTTGAATGGCTACAAGTCGTGCAACTACCAATAATTTTACTTGGTCATGAGTTTGTCTGAAGTTGCCAATTGACTTGTGAGGACTAGGTTTAGGATTCAAACAAGGGGTTTGTTGTTTAGACTGGGATTCAAATAAGGAGTGTGTTGCCAAGACTGGTATTCAAATAACAAAAGTTACCTACTATGGATATATGACCATATCCGGACCTTATCATTACTTTGTCATCTTTTCTATCTTATTAAAAGTAAATCTATTTAAATTATAATTTTCATAGTGTAGCCTCTAGTTGAATCATACAAACTCTTTAGTTTACATAGAAAATGATGGTGCATTCCCAGCTGCTGTACCATTTAAGAAAGGGGATATCTAGGTTGGCAGAAATCTTCATCAAGCAATTCGAGGAAAGTCCTAGCATGACTTGGTGTGGAAGTGCCAAACATAACTTTGTTGGGATGCTGGTGGAGTGGTGGACAATGCCCTTTTAGAGACTATAAGCACTCACATACTGTATAGCAAAGCCCGGGCAAGTTTGATATATCTCTTACATGACAGCACCATGTGTCTTCGTTGGCATGCGATATACATTGTTATATCAGATAAATAGACCGTCAGCGCCTGTTAACAATCCCATCTGGGAGGGATTTTCAAGAGAACCGGCTCAGGTATGTTAAGGCTATCCCATCTTTCTTTTTGGCATGATCCGAATAATACAAATGAAACGAGCAAAATACGCAATTTTCATAAATGGCTCTATTCATAGAAATACTAGAGATGATTATGTTCTTGATTCCCCATATGTCATATTATTCTATAATCTGTTCATGGGTCTCAGAAAATACGTAAGTTGATAAAGTTTATTTCATGATATTAATCAGAGGCATAATGGTCTTATGACGTACCGAGTGATTTTATTAACGTATTTCATATGCATTTCATGCACATTGACCCATGACTATATATATATATAATGTCATCTGGTCATGTGTCAATGTGCATGTATAAATGGCATATGGAATACGTTAATAAAATATCTCGGTACGTCATAAGACCATTATGCCTCTGATTAATATCAAGAAATAAACTTTATCAACTTATATGGGATATGGAAAAGGTTATAGCGTTATATACGCAGCACCACCTGATCAGCTGGTATACATTGATGATTTGCCCGCAGTGGTCGAGATGATGTGATGGGATGCCTTCAGAGGCATAAAGATGTTATGAACACATGTACCTATGCACGACATGACATTCATACGCATATGCATAACACTATAAGTATTTCATGATTTACAGAGTCATCCGGACTTACTGGTTGAGTCATTTACTTTATATTTCTTCCATGTCTATAATTAATGTTGACTTATTGTTATGTTTCAGTTATGCCTTACATACTCAGTACATTATTCGTACTGACGTCCTTTTATTGGAGACGCTGCATTCTGTCACGACCCTAACCCCGACACCGGTCGTGATGGCGCCTCTCGTGAAGACAAGGCCAGCCAGTTCAACCCAATTCATCTTTTAAAA